AAAAAAAAAAAAAAAAAAGAAGATAGGAAAATCTATATCTCTGAGTGGAAGTTTACCGAAATAAATTTGATCAATATACCCTTGTGTCCGGCCCTTCCCCGGACCCCGCGCATAGCGGGGGTTTAGTGCACCGGGCTGCCCTTTAGATGTGTGCTTTGAAAAATTCGTGGAAGCTGAAGTTTTATACCTTTTGTTGGTGGATGTATTATACCGATAAAAAGCTTGGTGCTTTCTTCAAGAAAAATGAATACTTTAAAGTAGGGTGGTAGCCATCCTACATAGTGGTCAACCCCCTATAGATGGGTACCCCTTGAAAGCATAACTTTTTCTGTTTTTTTCAAATTGGTGATTCTGATTAATGCTATTGGTGCTTATTTCAATATATTGTTTGTTAATTTCCTTGTCCTTCTAAATGTACAGCGGAGGCTGAGAGAATTCGTAAATGTAGAGGACGTGTTTTTGCTCTTCGCGATGAACCGGAGGTTTCAAGAGTGTGGTTGCCACATAGTGACTCTCCTGGACTTGCAATGGCACGTGCTTTTGGGGATTTTTGCCTCAAGGATTTTGGTCTCATCTCTGTGCCTGAAATATCATATAGGCGTTTAACGGGAAAAGATGAGTTCATTGTTCTGGCAACTGATGGGGTATGAAACTTGAAATTTAGTACTTTTTATTACCATTTTACTTATTAAAAAAAAGAATTTATACATGGGTTCTTGGTATTACTTTCTCAATGGTTGTTACATTATATTTATCCTAGTCCAAAATTAATTCCGATGACAGATATGGGATGTACTTTCAAATGATGAAGTTGTAAAGATCATAGCATCCGCTTCATCCCGTTCATCTGCAGCTCGATCACTAGTTGAAGCAGCTGTTCGAGCCTGGAGGACAAAATACCCAACTTCTAAAGTTGATGATTGTGCAGTTGTCTGCCTTTTTCTTGATTCAAACTCAAATAACTTGTCTACTGCTTCTAATACAAACTACAATGATGAGACTGTCTCAATGGAAGCAAATGAAGTTGATGTCAAGACAGATGATGCCTCTGGTCCAGCTGCATTGCCTCGTTCTGGAACTGTTCGAGAAGGCGATGAGGTTTCAGGAGAAGGCGACGACGTATCAGAGGAAGGCATAGAGGAAACCTCAGAACATGAGGAACTGCTCGCGGAGGTTGGGACAGAATGGTCCGCGCTTGAAGGGGTTTCCCGGCTGAATACATTGTTGACATTGCCAAAGTTTGTGCCTGATAAAGAAGAGAAGTAAGATAGAGGTTTGAGATGTCAAAGTTTGGATTTATATCTTTTGATTATTTTCAATTTTTATTTAGTTCTTTCCATCCATTTAAAGGTCTGACATATCTACTGGGAGAAAAAAGAAAACAGAAAATGCAAAAATTTGATATTTGTTGTAGACAGGAGAGGTGGGCCCAGCAATATTAGAGTGTCTGGGAATCATCCTTTCTCTCCCTCCCTAGTGTTGGTAGAAGTGGAATTTTGTAAAAATCCAACTCTCCGTCTTCTTCATTCTTGGTTTCTACCTTTTCTTTTCTTCCGCATATATACCAAGATTGTGTACCTTATCAAAGATTGTGTGATTTTCCCTCATTGTTATATTGATACTAATGCAGTCCTTTTTTGTTCAAGTTGCATATTATGTTCATCTCTCTCGAAAGCTGCATTGTTCAAGTCCTTTTTTGTTCAAGTTGATAGTATTGATCTTTTTACTTGTCAAAAGCTAAGAACTCAAGGAAAGGGTGACAAGTTGCCATCTTTTGGCTCAATAGGGGTATGGCAACTAGCATTTGGGATGTCCAAGTGTGTAACTATCGAACTGATCCCTGTCTAGGAAGTGCAAGTGGTGATATAAAATCAAATGGTGGACCATTTTGCAATTTGCATGATTCACGTGTTCCCAATTTACATATATTTTTGTCCAAAAACTTAGAAATCCTGGGACCACGTTGCTGGTGGGTGTGACGCTTTGCGTTGCAACCACGAAGGGTATCTGTTAGGTCGCCAACGTGTCTTTGGAATGCAACTTACATTATGTCTTTATGTGGACATCCAAGAAAATTGAAACGATACACAAAAGATTAACATTGAACCCATTATATTTTTAAAGTTATAGGTTCAAATCTATTATTTTTGCAATTTTAATGAATTTTTACACATAAATTTCTATTCCGCGTCGAAAGTTATGGGTTCAATTGAACCCATAACTAACACACTACATCCGCCGGTTCAATTGAACCCATAACTAACACACTACATCCGCCTCTGCTCATAACAAGGATAACATGCACAAATCAATAAATGGTCTCAGAGGCAAAGCCAAGATTTGAAATGTATGGGTTCAGTATTCTAATTTTTTTAAGTTACTAAATTCTAAATTAATAATTCAGATATAATCTAATAATTTTTTAAAATAAATACAAGGTTTGGATAAAAGTTATTAAGTTCATCCGAACCCGTATTCGAAGGGCTAGCTCCGCCCTGAATGGTCTAACCACTTAACCTAGGCCGTGCCTGTGTACCCCTACCTGTGTTATTGTGAACATGGAGTTTTCTTCTTCTTCACTTGTCATTCATTAATTAATTTACTCTTTTAGCACGTTGAAAATTCTATCTTAAGGGAGGAATATCCAATCTATTCACAAACAAGTCAACACTAAATAGACTGGTAAATTATTACTTATTTCAGAGTTGCCAATTATTATCCCTTGATTGACCAACTGCCGACCTTTCTAGATCCTCATCATAGAATTCCCTTCAAATGATTTTCTTATTTCTTCATCCTATGAATTTGATAGCAGGTTTTCGTTGTCAAAATGTGATTACGTGGACTAGTATGTAATTTATGTGAACTAATAATCCTAAAGCAAGCCAATGACGCTACCTAGCTTTAATAGCAATATTCTCTGTGCTCTCAAAAAGTGATTATTTTGACTAATAACAACGCTAGTGAAGCTTTCTTTTGCTTGATTATGTTACACAATTGCAGGAATTCAAGAAAATTCGAGGATCGTATCACTGCTTCAGGATTAACTCGAGAAAAGCAATAGAGAATGTTGATGTTGCAGAAGAAGAAGAGAAGAGAGGAATGGTTGGTTACCGTCACTTGCTTGTAGGGCTGAACTTTAAGATAGACCAAATCACCAACCTCAAATTGTCTATCACTCCTCTGGGCATCTGCTTGTTGTTTCATTCTGTGTTGAGCGGTGGTGTTTAAGTAGCTATAGCTTTAGTTCCCTGTTGATCTAAGGTATTATCAACTTCAGTTGAAGGTGACTCTCTTGGCAAGTAGGGTAAATGTAGGGGGGGTGGTCGACCATATAATGCTTCATAAAGGGTGGTCTGTATGGCTAAGTGAAATGAAGTGTTACACCAGTACTCAGCCATAGGTAAGCAAGAGTACCAATTAGCAACATAGCACCTTAAGTAGGTCTCCAAACTTCTGTTCTATACCTCAGTCTGTCCATCAGATTGAGGATGGTATGCAGAAGATGTATTCAATTGAACTCCTTGTAGTGAAAACAACTCTTGCCATAAATTACTAAGAAAGACAACATCTCGATCACTAGTAATGGTATCAAGTAGACCATGTAACCTCACCACAGTGTCTAAGAACACTTGAGCGACTGATTGAGCAGTATAACGATGTTTCAGTGGAATGAAATGACTATATTTGCTAAGCCTGTCCACCACTACCAGTATAACCTCATAACTTTTTGACTTAGGAAGGCCATCAATGAAATCCATAAAAATTTGAGACCACACTACATTTGGACAAAGTCTTTTACCTCCTTCCTCATACTAATTCTACAATGAAAGTCTTGATAGCATCTGGCAAAGCTAGAACAGGAGCTTGAGTGAGTGCTTTTTTCAAAGCTGCATATGCTGCATCTGCTGAAGTCGACCATTTGAACCTATCCTTCTTAGTTAAGTCAGTTAGAGGTTTGCAAATTACCCCAAAACTCTTAATAAATCTTCTGTAATAACCAGCTAGACCTAGAAATCCCCTAAGTTGCTTGAGGGTTGTTGGTGTAGGCCAGTTTTGGACTGCATATCTTTTGAGGATCAGTAGACACTCCTTCAGCTGTGATGAAGTGTCCTAAATACTCAATCCTCTAAACCCCAAAGAAATATTTGCTCCTCTTTGCAAAGAGCTGATGTTTACTCATCTCCACAAAAACAGACTTCAAATGAGTTAAGTGGTCCTCTATAGTGCTGTTGTATATGAGAATATCATCAAAGAAAAGCAGTACATATTTCCTAAGGAACTCCTGAAAAATAAAGTTCATCAATCCTTGAAAAGTTGTAGGAGCATTTGATAGGCCAAATGGCATTACCAAATACTCAAAATGTCCAGAATGAGTCCTGAAGGCAGTTTTAGGCACATCTTCCTTGTCCATTCCGAGTTGATGATATCCAGACCTTAGGTCTATTTTAGAGAAAACCTTAGAGCCCCCAAGTTCATCTAACAAGTCTTTCACAATAGGAATAGAGAACTTGTTCTGCACAGTGTGCTTATTCAAATCTCTATAGTCGATACACAACCTCCATGACTCATCCTTTTTACCTACTAGTACCACTGGTGAAGTAAAAGGACTGCAGCTAGGTTGAATGATACCTTGGTCCAGCATTTATTGTACAAGACTCTCAATAATATCCTTCTTAACTGAAGGATACCTATAAGGCCTTTTATTTACAGGTTCAGTACCATTTTGTAAAACAAACCTGTGATCAAAAATACTCCTAGAAGGAGGTCTTTCAGTAGGCTCTTCAAATAATGTAGAATACTCAACTAGTAATTGTACTAGCCTGTTATCTGTCTCAGGTTCCTCCTCAGCCTTAATAGCATGCCACTGTTCTTTTATCTTTCCCATAGGAACCACATGTATCATGCATAGTTGAGATAAATCCCCTGTATGTTTGACCAATTTCTCAGCTTCCTGTACTTTCACCTGATTACCAGCACCTCTGAGAAGGTGTTTCCTTCCCTTGTACCAGAATTCCATAGTCAACTTCCTAAAATTAAACTTAATGCCCCCAATTGTTAGTAGCCATTGCACTCCTAACACTACTACATATGAGCCTAAAGGTAGCAATAAAAATTCTGCTGAAAACTCAACACCTTGCAACAGCCAAGTGATTGTGCATACCCTATCTACCATCATATTCCCATTAGCAGCAACTACTAATTGGGGTTTAGTAGACTGGATTGTACATCCTAAGTGCTTGACCAATTCAGGATCTATGAAATGAACTACCAGTATCAATCAATATACGTAGAGCCTTCTTTACATGATAACAGTAACTTTTAAGGTCTTGTACCCTAGTGAACCATTCAAAGCATGGATGGAAATTTTCATCTGTTCCATACATTTAGATGGTTCTAGTTGATCCATTCTCTCCTCTTGAATTACTAACTCATGTCCCTCCTCTGCATGAGATCCTTCCTCCAACTCTTCTAGTTCTAATAAATATAACTGTTTTAAGCTATTAAATCTATGGCCTGGTACATACTTCTCATTACAGAAGTAACACAATCCCCTTGCCCTCTTTTCATTCATCTCATCTATGCTTAATGCTCGCTTAGTAAACCCCTTAGTATAAGTAGAACTACCAGAATTAAGAGTTGGTAATAGAGGATAACCACTACTATTTTGTGCTGCATATCTCTTGGTTGAAGGATTGGTTGTATAAGCAGGCTGTTTAGTTGCAGCCAAGTTAACTTCTTGCATCCTTGCAGTTCTATACACTTGAGATAGGGTTGTTGGATTAGTCAGCTTAACATTAACGTTCAACTCATGCTTCAGACCCCCAATAAACAACTGATTGCATTTTCTTGAGATAACCTCACCCTATTCAAATTTCTTTCAAATATAGCTTGGTATTCCTTCACACTCCCAGTTTGCTTAATCATTTTGATTTCTTCTATTGGATCATCGAAATCAGCTCCAAACCTTTCAACTAATGCCATCACATACTCATTCCAAGTGGCAGTTTGTAGATATTGCCTATACCTCATAAAAGAGAGATACCATTGTATAGTTTCTCCTTCCAACTATAATGCAGCTACTTCAAGCTTTTCTTCAGCATCTAACTTTTCCATAGAGAAGAATTGTTCGATTTTGAATCGAGCATGATATTTAGCATGATGTACAACTCATTTATTTTATCACATGGTGAAAACACAGATAATCAATAAAATAGGTCCACTATTCAATGTCCTAGATACAACAGAGTCATAACTCATAGGGTGCACGCCCACACGCCCGTCACCTAACATGTGTGTCACCTCAACACCAATCACATAATACATAATTTGGGGTTTTATATCCTCAGCATTAAGTTTAGAAGAGAACTTATCTTAAACAAGCCGATTCCGACACCGAACAAGCCAAACGATGATCCAAGAATGCCATCATGCATGTTCCAACCTCTGAACTGCTCGAAACCCAATTCATATGTTGAAAATCGCCTCGAAAATTGCCCAATTCCGAGCTCCCCAACTCAAAATATGTGAAATGCACAAAACCCTCGTTTTAACATTGTTCTGCCTCGTGTCTTGTGCCAAAAGATCTCAAAATGCACTTTTGATGCCTCCAATAGATTCCTTGTAAAATTCTAGTCAAGTTAG